TCCTGAAGTGGAATTTTTTTGCAACAGAACATGTATTTTTCACTAGGAGAAAACATGCTCACTTATAGATCTCCACCTTCACTAAAGAAAGCCACTTGTTTATAGAAAGCAGCTCAGCACTTGGTCAATATTTTATGAAAATGGTAGACCTAATGCCAGTAGGAAGCGACTCCTCATAAAACTGTTGAACAACCTTATTCTGTTTAAAAGCTAGGGGCTGTTTTTCTTTTTTCCTATAATTGCTAGAGAACAACAAGAGAATTATAAACAAGAGAACTATAAATACACACACACATCAATTTTACTCTGTATTTATTTTGTTTCTGTTAGGATAGTAAGTATAGTCAGGTAACTTATTTTAGACAAAGCTTACAAGATCATGCCATGTAAAAAAGTTTTATCATCTAAGGATTAAAGTCTTAAGGGATATTTAGAAAGGTGGACAGTTTGTAGGAGACCATTAAAAATAAAATTCACTTGAGTGGATAAACATGCCCTTCTGCCAAGCTGAGCAGAATAACAAATTTGAACTGGCTTTTTGCCCGTGGGGACTTCTATGCTGAGGAAACCTCTTGTTCCTTGTCCTTACAAATGTTTGCAAAACATTTTTTTTTGATGTTTTTTCTCCCATTTTCTTCTCAAAGGAAAGTGTGGTTACATGTGTGTGTTGTGAGAATGCTGTCCATTTGATAACACAACTGTGTGGTGCTATCACGCACATTTATTTGGTATATAACAGAGATATGAGTTACGTAACTTTTTCAGCTACCTGAAAATGGAAATCTTGGAGTGATGTACAACACAAGTGACTTAGTCCTGTAGACAACAGAAGTATTATGTGAATGATTTAGTGTTACAGGACCAAATCCTTTGTGCCTACAGAGGAAGCAAATGTAGAAGTGGGAAGAATTTAGGCTAGGCTGTTCTGGGGGCGATGTGTGTGAAACTGCAGAATAAAATCCTTTTGGATCCATGGATCAGAGGTGCCACAACATGTAAAATATTGAAGTTTGCCATTCATGAAGTTGGAGGTTGCTATTGTATAGGGATTGCAATTAAAACACACACAAAAAAAAAGAGTTGTAAAATCAGTGCCACAGCAAATTAAATTGTCTGTACTCTTGAATTAAAGCATCTGTGGAAGAATTTAATACACTCTAACTTATGCACATTAGTTTCATGCTTTTTGTTGATTGACCTTTCTGAATGTAAGAATTTCCATTGGGAGGGAGTCTTAGACATAGGCTGCTCTGCCTGCTACTGCCTGTTATGGGAAGTTGAGCCCATTTACTTAGTCTGAAAAGGGAAACAAAAAATTATAGTGATATATATGTAGAAATTAAAATCTAAATTGATACATCTAAATGTAATAACAATCCAATGTAAATCTAAATCTACTGGCCATTCTAGTATAAAACATAGTAATTTTTAATGATCAGCTAGTATTCACGTAGTTAAATGTAGTGTTCAAATAGGACCATGGGCTGCTGAGACATTGGTATAGGACTTGAAGGTGTGTTGCAGCACCTGCCAGAGACCCTCTCTGGCACAAGAACTGTTTTCTGCTGTCACCGTAGGCATAACTCAGATAAATCTTTGTGGTGGATGTGGAACCAGGACCAATTTGGCCTGTTATGTTCATTTATTAATACTATATGATAACAACTATTTGGTGACTGTTAAAACAGCTTAGGTGGTTTACAGCCTCTTATGCTGAAGTCCTATTGCAGCCAACATCAATATGATCCAGAATGATAACACTTTTATAGCATTGTATTTGCTTTCTACCTCAGTACCATGGTGCAGAACAGCAAATACATACAAATGTCTATAAAAAATGGACAAAATGTTGTCTCCAGATGAAGAAAGGGTTACAGCAATACTATAGCACTGAAGGACATTTAGATCCCTCACTCAACAATTTGTGAGATTTGGTCCTTGCACAGATCAACAGAGAAACACAAGGCCATTATCATTTCTGTGCACTCTCTCTTTCAGAAACCCTCCTTTAGATGCCATGCTACTCTCCAAAACTCCCTCTTCAAGTTTGACTTTATAATTTAACAATCAACAAGGCATCAAGTCCACACATTGACAGCAGCACTGAAATGTAAAGGCAAATATCGTTCAAACTCTATTGAATCACTAGGAGATAAAGGCTGGTAATATACACAACATCCTGGAGAGAACAGTGAGTGGCAGCTCCCCCGCAATTATAAATTATGATTTCTCCTCACATACATAATAGAGAAGAAAAAGAGTATGGAGTCTTGATTTATTCTGCAAAATTTCTCTTACCAGCTCATGCTGCAATGTCATTGTGTGAAGGTGTCATTTTGAAAAAATATTGAAAAGAAAGGTAAGAGTAAATGCTTGGAAAGCAATTACCATTACACAAAGCCTTAAAGAAATAATATATTGTATGTGTCATGGTTTTGTGTGTATATATACATATATATTTGTATAAACATCTATATACATACATAAACATACATACTAAACTGGAACTGAAGAGGTAAATGGCTTTCAGAGCTCTTCCATAATAATTTCACTTATGAAAAATGCAGGGATTATATATTAGCTGTTGTAGGACTAGAGAGAGAGAGCAAACCAGAACACTAAAAGATCCACTCTGGCACTAATAACCCCTGGATTTGTACAGCCTCCCCCTGACCCAAAGTGCAAATAATTGTTGCAGCCCCAAAGGATAAATGCATGGGCAAAGGAAGGAGGTGAAATACAACACACATGTACATGCACACACACACAGAAGAAACAAAATAAAATTAAAGAAAAAAACCACCACCACCAAATTCTAAAGCAAATGAAGAAATGAAGAACCTAAAAAAAGAACAAAAGCAATATAAAATCTCTTCAGCCTAAAACATCATAGAAAGGCGGGCTTGCAGGGCAAGTCACAGCTGAATGATCAGCCACAGAAGCTCTTCTCCTTTTCTATTACACCATATATCTTACCACTTGTTATTAAATTAGTGCATTCTGGCAAGTCTGATGAGTTTTATCCTATACAGCTCAGCTCACTGTGCATTGATTGCTCATCCTCATCCTAGGTGGTGTAAATGACCACAGAAATTGCTGGCAAGAGTTTAATGGACTCAGTGGCCAGAATCCACAGGAAGTCATACCCACTTTTCAATGCACTGGCAAAAATATCCTTCTATAACTGAAAACTTTTATGAAACAATAGCAACCTCCGTGCTGAGGTGTATCACATCACTATATTACTGCAGACAGGAAATCAGATGCCATTGATTTTTTCAGGCTGCTGAGATTCACTTGTGAAGAATCAGGATGACAAGCAGGGAGCACAGTAACTAGACTTGCATCTTTCAAATTTCAGCCCCCTTTTTTTTTTTGACTCTAACCAATCTATTTTAATCTTTCTCTTCTTCTTTGTTTTTCTTTTTTCTTTTTTCTTTTTTTTCCCCTCCCAGTGTTTCTAAGTCACATCTTTTCTCCAAGCCATATCATATGTCTGACCTTGACTAGAAAGCCTCTGTTTTCAGTCCTTCTTGAAAGCAACACCGTGCAGTTAAACCAATAATCCTTAGGCGCTTGCATCCCCTCCATCTTATAAAAGATACAACTCCATATCTGAATCAGTTGCTTTGTTTTGTCATTCTTTCCCCTATAGGCATTTTATTATGTTTGATAGTTATTTATAGCATTTTGTGGTATACATCACACTGTGTGTGAGCTTTGTGCACTATCTCTCTCAGTAGTAATTGAATAGACTTTCCCCTTTTCCCATTTGTGATTGCCTTTTTCTGAAAATCCTAGTGGTTGTTATTCAAACATGGTAATGATTAGAGAAAACAAGGTCCTTGCAGGGCTAATGTCAATAAGGTTTTTCATGGCCTTTCAGTTTGCTTTTATGTAATTTAGAACAAGGGCTACCGTGAGCTCTACTAGCACCTGGGCCAGCCCTCCTTGAAATGCCAGCAGGTGCTCTGTAAAGCACCAGACATCCCATTTTCCCATTATATAAAATGGGCACGATCATTTTTATATTAATGCTACAGCTGAAATAGCTAGGAATAGAAAGTTTATATGCAGTATGGGAGCATTGCTGCAAAAGAGAAATGTAATGTGGTTTGACAGATTTCATTTTCCTCCCACTCTTTCAGTTCTTGACCTTTCTATAGCAACTATCAACAAAGGTACAAAGTAATACTTATTTGTGCCATAGTCCTGATACTATCAGAGACCTGTGGCCAATTTTACAAAAGCACCCAAAAGGAGTAAACAATAGAAACAAAGGGTAAGACTCAGATGTCTATTTTCTCCCTTCTAGTCAGCATGAATCCATCACAGCTAAAGAAAGATTTAGATTTAGCTTGGAGAATGGATAAAAGTGCATTCATTTACATTACATGAAAAACATACTGCAATATTGATTATCCATCAGTTTCCAGACAGCCAGAGATTGAATTAACAGTTTTTGAAGTCAAAGAGGATCATTATGTAATTTAGCTTTGTTCTTTACATCACACAAGCTCAGCAGTTTAATTCTATTACTCTCAGAAAAGAAAGACATACAGCCTTGACTTGAAAATGTCAAGACATTCATCACATCCCTCAATGGTTTGACGTAATGGCTAATCACCCTGACATTAAAACATGTGCTCTACCTCAAATTTGGAGCTAATTCCCAGACTCAGGTTCTGTTTTTTCTTTCTGTGCTGACGTTCTTTATTAGATGGTGCCCTCGCTCTGTCTCCCCTCCTGCCTTTCTCTGTGAAGATGTTAATCCACTATAATAAAATCACCATTTCAGTTTCTTTTCAGTACAGTTAAACAGCCTAAACTCTTTAAATCTCACAGTGAAAGCCTTATCATCCAGCCTGTGAAGTAATGTCTGTGGGATTTTCCTCTACTTCCCCGTTTTTTTCAATAGATTGACGCAAGCTGTTTTTGTAATAAAATGGAATGTTTTAACATCACGGCCAAGGAGGCAGGAAGGAGGAAGCAGCACTCACCTCCTCTTGCTGGGTATAACTCCCATCTCCTCACTGTCTCCCTCCAGGGTGACCCTCCTCGCCTGCCACCACTCATCGTCCGAGGCATTGATGACGTGAAGAATGTCTCCATACTTAAAACTGAGTCCTTGGCTTGGGAGACCACTGTCTTTGCTCTTGTCATAGTCAAACATGGCTCTACAAAAAGAAGTAAAAATATGAAGACAGGTGATTATATCAGTCTAGGAAACATACAGTTGAGAATAATTTGTCATATTTCGTGTTCCAGATAATCAATTCTCCTTTTCAAAGGGAAAGGTCTCTCTCGGAGGAAAACTTTCCACTTTGAAGTTAATATCTGTGGAATGCATTTGGTTTAAGAGAAATTGAACACTGAAGTACTATTTCACTCAAAAAAAAAAAAAAAAAAGAAAAAAAAGGATCATCATATCAAGCCTGATAGACAGAAACCACTTTTGTGACCTTGCCAACAACAAGTGTGGCTGTTGAAATTGTTCTTTCCCCACACCTCCATCTGCCCAGACAGGGATGCATTCTGAAAATTAACTACAAAGGATACAAATACAAAACTGTCCTAAGTATAATGTGCTTCTTTAGATGCATGGACACATCTATGTTAATTAGCATTTATTTCAGATCAGCAGTGATCTTTCAAAAGGAATCTGATTATTCCCACTCTCAGTGCTTTGGTTTGTGTCCTGGAACTGGTTTAGGTTATGCAGCACAGGCTCCTGAAATCTGAAACTAAAGATTCCCTGACTAGAATAAGTCTAGTTTAACATACATCCCTTGCATGCATGCAGCACCAGTTTCTCTGTCCACGTCCAGTCCCCCAGTGCTGCACCAGCTGCTCAAGTAGCCCTGGCTGCTTGCTTTGATGTCAATGAGGTTTTTCAGTTTAAATTGGACCTCTGCTTTGAGTGTACCTATGCAAAAGTCCTACAGATAGGACATAGAGTAATATATGTATAAGGATAGGATTCCACATGCAGAAAGGTCCTTCACATGAATCCCAGCAAGGCTTTACATGAGTGGAGGCGGCGAGCTGAATTTACCTTGCTAAATCCTAGATCTTGATTAGGAGATATGTGGGAATATTTTTCCCATACAAAATATAGTTTAAAGATCATGCCTGACAAGAATTGATGTTTATTTTCCCATAGGGAAATTCCAATAGGGCAAATAATATGATTATAATCCTAAGTACAGAAAGGTTAGATGAGTAAAATACCAAGAGGGACATAATAAGTCCTACGCTTTTATTGAAAGAAAGTTGAGGTAATCTCTTTGCTTGTAAACACTTTTGTGAGAAGGATTAGATATAATTAATTGTTGTGCATTGTAATGTAACTGAAAAGAATGGTAACAACAACTTTATGGGTAGATTTAGAACACCCTCCTCTTATAATGAGGAGGTCTTAAAAAAAAAGTTATGAGAGTTGTAACTATGCAACCAAAAGGTCTCATGAGCACTCATTCTGCATGAAGGGTTTGGCTCATGAAGAGAAAAAATGCTATTTTGAATATGCCTTCTCTTAAAGAGTTTATAGTCTATCTGCTTCAGAAGAGCTCAGATAAATCCCTTCTGAGGAGAAAGACAATAACTAATCCTGCTGTTTAATCCATGAGCTTCCAGGATGAGCCTGGAAGTACTCGTGCCTTTTTTGGTAAATGTAAACAAAGTGAAAGTAACGTGAAAATTTTAAGTGACTTGGTAGTGGAAATTCTTCAAAAAAAGTGGCTATGTCTTAGTAAAAATTGACCTTTATAAAGGATTCTTATCAGTAGCAGGTCATCTGCTGCTTTCTCAAAGAAGGCTTTCTATAACAACAAATGATGAAGAGGCATTTAAATTCAGAGGCAGCTAAGTATTGTCAGCCACCACTCCTTAACCAAAGAATAACAGTCAATCTCTGAAGAAAAGAGAGTGCACATACACACAGACTTAAAGACATCATTCTGCTGGTATTGACCTTAACAGCAGGCAGTGCTCTGAATTTTATCTCTGTATTAAACAGTTGGCACCTGAGAAATTCACTGAGCAATTGTGTGCCTTGCCATGGGAGCCCATCAGCATCTCTAGAGTCTGACCACAGAGTTGGCTATCTCGATGAATACAATTATGGATCCACACACTATTTAGTCAGTCAAAACAAATGACAGTATCTGCTGTTGCAGAAAATGCACAAGACTGTCAACTCCCAGCAGTAAACTTCATGCCAAGTTAAAAATACTCAATATTTTTAGAGGTCTAAGACAAAGGGTGTGTTTGAAAAGCTAAGCAGCACAAAGAACTGAGGGCAGTCTTGAACAGATACTTTCACCACAGGGCAGAACTTAACATCACAGAATGCCATCCTGTTAGCTGACATTAACAATGAATGCAGAACGCAATGTTTGGCGCTGACTTACTTTGATTGGAGTAGTCTTGTGCAACATTAATTAAAATGAAGTTCGAGAAAGACAAGAGAATTTTTGAGCACGCTTTTCAGTGAATGAAGGATGCTTGAATGCATGCTTTATGTATGTTGACTACTCCTTTACTAAATGAAAATGATACAAGGACTATTTCCTAAATATTTCAAATTAAATGGTTTAAGTTTATAACTGCTTTTAATCTTTCACAACATTTCTGGTCAATAGTCATTTTTTTTAATGACGAAGGAAATCAATTTAAATTATTTAACTTTAATTTTAGAGCTATTACCAATGTTGCTGTTAGGCCACATCGGCATCAGACATTTTTCCATTCAGTACCTTTTGCATAGGGCATTTCATAACGGGCTCCTGGGTTACAGGGTATAGATAAGACATTTTGGCGTTACAAATCACAGCACTGCAATCACAGTGATTACTGTGAGATGTGAATAAAACATTAAAATAGGAAACGGAGCTCGCTGCAAACTAATTAAACAAACGTGGTGTACTCATGGTTTGGCCATTTTAGTTCCCTTATTAGGAAAATAACTATGGGACCAGGTATGATTGTCAAAAGGCATACACCCGATTTCCATTAGTGCCTTTTTTTCCTTAGTTCTGAGCTTTTTGCTTGTGTTTTGAGAAAATTGTTTATTATCCTTACAACATTATGAAATAAAAAAGTGCCTAGTACCGTACATTGCTCCTGTCTTCTTGGTGAATGTCTCCTGCTTGTAGAAAATTAAGAAATACAGTTCTGAGAAGTGAAATGGAAGATGCGAACATTTAGAACACACTTTATATCAGAAATATTCAAGATTATGTGAATCCCTGATATTATTCCAGACTTCAGAAGAGATCACTGTGCTAAGCTAATCCCAGCAGTAATTTGGACAGAACCTAACAGATTTTATTTCTGTGCTTGGGTGCTTCTTAATCATTTTTCAGAACCCTCATCTGCATAAAGCTGAACACAAGCATTCCAAAACAGCATCAAAAGTCCTTGCTCAAAGATTGTTTGAAATGAAAATGTGAGAATACTGCCAGTGCAAAGCCATAATATACTGCCAGATTTGCAGTGAGTTGTCTACATTCCATTTTGTGCAAATACTTTAGCATTTGAAGTACATTCAAAAGCTATGCCCCATTGCATAGTAAAGTCCTATTTCTAATGACAGCTCTTCTTGCATCTAGAGTAATAAATATTTGGCATAGGGTAAATCATGTTATCTTTAAGGAAACAGCCACTCAATTCGTGGTGCAGACCCATGCATTGCAGGCTATTGGCCCCCACCATGCCTGTATTGTTACTGGAATTTTAAAAATTAAAAAACAAGGTACAGAAAGAGTAAATGGTCTTGATAGCCTGTGGCAGAAAAGGAAATTTAACAGTGAAACTGAGATTCCTTGGTTGAGGTTGTAAACATTATTTGTAAATAGTCCTCATGACCTTCCTGACAAGGCAAGGGATATGACTGCATTCACAGCACAGCAATGTATTTTACCGAATGCTTGTGCGTGTTTGGTGCACAAAACTGCAAACTTCAATTCCCTTACCACTGTACCATGGCCAGTAATCTCAATATGATACAGTTCAGGTACTGCGTGGCAGCTTTATTTGCATCTTTGAAATTACTTTCTTCTTCTAGCACAGATGGGAGTTTGCACATAAATTTGCAGGCTGCTCTTTGCCATTTACTTGATTATGAAATGACAACAACATTTAGCAGGAGAGAACCTCAGCTTCTGTAAACAGCCCTAACTCTTCCGCAGTCTGCCAGTGTATCTGCTTATGTACCACTTGTGGATGTCACCATTTTCTCTGAAAATGTTCTTACTAGAGATTCTCAGACATCAGACTTCACAGCATCATCATTAGGGAGAGATACATTATTCTCCCTCTTCTTCCCATTTGTCCAATACCCCTATCCATTTTTTTTTCTGCATTTGGGGGAACACAATGCATAGAGGTTTAAGGATTTGCATGGATTTGGACAGCAATTCAGTGTCAAAGTCATAATTAGACCTCACATTTCTTTGCTGTCTATTCAGAGCTCTCAGTAAAAGGTGCACTTCAACCTACTTGCAGGCTAAGCCTAAAGAAAACTTCAGAAGAAAATAAAACTTAGAGCAATTCATTCCTATCGCTACAGCTGTGATAGAAATAACCACCACAATGCAATTAAGATCCTATTTAAAAGGGTTGAATTTTCACATACTGGCATGTCAATAAAGACTTTCACCTCCTCTTCTCAGCTTCTCTTTCACCTGGAGAAGGTGGAAAGGTGAATCCTGTGGACACTGACACCTTCTCTGGAAAGGTTGGAATGAACTGTTTTGAAGAACACCTTTCATTAGCAGTGTACTATAACAACATGGTTTCAACATACAAGCATCAGAAGTTTGACACAGGCCTTCGCCTCCAAGAAACTGATTCCTATGGTGTTTCTCTCTCTTTTTTTTTTATTCTTCTTTCTCTCTCTCTCTTTTTTTTTTTTCCTGTGGATATTTCGTGTCTTAATGGTCTTTTCATGAAGTTTAACTTTAATTACTGCAGATGGTCTGAGAGTGATAGATGTGTATTGTTAGACTAAATCATGCCAGGGCACTGCAGCATGGTTTTTATTTGCTTTTTGGAAGTCACCACAATGCAGGGACCAGCAATAGTCTGGATACATCTCCCTTTTGTGGTGGAGAGAAGGACATAAGGAAAGGGATATACAGAATCATTAAATCATAGAATCGTTGGAAGGGATCCTTAAA